AATTTGCAATTAATGATGTATAGGTGATATTTCAACATAATAACAAAATTATGAAGAAACTATAGATTATTCTAAATCATATTTGAAAATAATACCACAAATTTGGAGACGATTTACTACCTGGATCATAAGTTATTTTAATAAACAGTAATACCTATTTTTTAAATCTGTGTTCTAATAAAAATGTAATGGAAATGTAATGGAAATGTAATGGAAATGTATTTTAAATATTTAAAATGAATGATAAAAATCTCAGCTTTTTAATATAAGTATATTATGTATTCAAGATTATATCAAGTTGTATATTGCGATGAACTAATTCAGTAAATAAACAAAATATTTATTTAAATGATAAGGAGCATACAGCCACAACGCAAGACGTCTTTAGAAAACGTCATATATTTAAAAATTTTAACATAATATAGACGTTTCAGTTAAGTCTTGGTCATCAGTACAATAAGAATATAAACGATGTAAGACACTATCTAAGTTACCACCAAAAAGTTTTTTAAAACTCTGTGCAAATTTATATTAAAAACTCCGAATTATACTTGCGAGAATTGATGTCACAAAATACGGAACCTAAAAATTCCGTATTTACGATACATTACAAAAAGATTCAAGTAACAAGGAATCTGTATTGCAAAAAAGTTCCTTTCATAAGTGAATGTAATTTTATGTCACTGTCATTTTTGAAATAACGAATAATAACACTCGAACAATTTTGTTAACATCTTTAATTTCTGTAACATCGTTTATATTCTTATTGTACTGATGATCATCAAGACTTGACTGAAACATCTACTTTAATTATATTAAAATTTTTTAATATACGACTTTTGATGGGGCGGAGATTTCGGGTTGGAAGGAGAGGGACGCTGTGGAGAGACTGCAGGAGAGGTATTTAAGGTGGGTGTTAGGGTGTTAGGGGTAGAGAGAGGGACGCCGGGGTACATGGTAAGGAAGAAATTACAAAAGGAGAAGCTAAGGGTGAAGGCGGGAAAAAGGGCGTGGGCATTTGAGGAGAGATTAAAGGCCGGTGGGGGGGAGTTGGCTTGGTTATGTTGGGTGG